GCTCAGACTTATTATTTTCTTTTTTGTTTTCCAAAATGATTTACTGAAAATTTGTTGTTGTTGTTGTGTTTGCAGGACAAATTGGTTATGCTCTTGTACCCATGATTGCTAGGGGAGTCATGTTGGGTGCTGACCAGCCTGTGATCCTTCATATGCTTGATATCCCACCTGCAGCAGAGGCTTTGAATGGAGTCAAAATGGAGTTGGTGGATGCTGCCTTCCCTCTTCTAAAAGGTATACATGTACATTACAGCATGGTTTAAGTTTTGAATGATGTTGTGGATTCTACATTTTAAATTTGTTTGAGTATGATGTATGGTTATTGGATCTAACCAGAATTTTTTTTTCTTTTTTCAGGTGTTGTTGCTACAACTGATGTTGTTGAGGCATGCACTGGAGTAAACATTGCAATCATGGTTGGTGGTTTCCCAAGGAAGGAAGGAATGGAAAGGAAAGATGTTATGTCAAAGAATGTGTCAATTTACAAGTCCCAGGCTTCTGCCTTGGAGCAGCATGCATCTCCTAACTGCAAGGTGAGAAAAATATGTTTCAACATGAAAGTTCTGGCATTTTCATCACCTCACCTGTGAAATGAAAATTTTCAATTTTTACTTTTTTTACTTTTCTTGGATGAAATATATGAATATTGTTAAAAAATGCAGTTTTTTTCCCACCAATATAGATGGGAGCAATATGATTTGTTCAAATTCTGAAGCTTTATTTTCTTGTAGCCTTTAAAGCATTAGTATTCTATATTCTGTGAATTGTTATTGATTTGGAATGAGTGGACAATCAAACGTTTTTGTAACATCTTAAAAGTTGTTTTAAATGCAGTAATTTGTATTTTATCCCTTATTCAATGATATTTTTACTGTCATGAGACCTTATAAGTTCCTCAGTGGCCCTCAAAAGTTGCTAAGTATATATATTAAGCTTTCATGTAATATTTGGACCTTATCTGCATTCAGGGTCCGCACAAGTTATTAAGTTTATAGATTAAGATTTGATGAACCTTTTGACCTTATCTGCGTACATGTACTTTCTGTTTCATTCAGGTCCTGGTTGTTGCTAACCCTGCCAACACCAATGCATTGATCTTGAAGGAATTTGCACCTTCAATCCCTGCACAGAACATTACCTGTTTGACGAGGCTGGATCATAACAGGGCGTTAGGTCAAATCTCAGAGAGACTAAATGTCCAAGTTTGTGATGTTAAAAATGTGATTATTTGGGGTAATCATTCATCAACTCAGTATCCCGATGTCAATCATGCAACTGTTAAGACTCCATCTGGTGAAAAGCCTGTTCGTGAACTCGTAAAAGATGATGGATGGTAAAGAAAATAGTTGCATAAATGATTATATAATGAAATAGGTTTATTTGAACCGAGATTTGAAGCTTTATGTTGATATTATTCACTCATTAAAGGTTGAATGGAGAATTCATAACCACCGTCCAACAACGTGGTGCTGCAATTATCAAAGCTAGGAAACTCTCAAGTGCACTATCTGCTGCTAGTGCTGCTTGTGATCATATTCGTGATTGGGTCCTTGGAACTCCAGAGGTTGGCTTCTTCTTTTTAATGATATTTAATATGGTCACAATCTGATTTTGCTTCATTTCAATGCACCTGCAGGGCACATGGGTTTCCATGGGTGTTTACTCTGATGGTTCATACAATGTACCAGCTGGGCTCATTTATTCCTTCCCAGTAACTTGTTGCAATGGAGAATGGACAATTGTCCAAGGTAAGATAGAGTAAAATATGATCCGATTATGTTGTGCAAAGTGTTTGTTGTCTTATGTTAACATGTTTAACCAATAATAGTAACTAGATATTGATGCTTTTAATCATTTTCACAATGTGTGTGTTTGGGAATCTGACTATTTAGATGAAAATTTTTAAAATCAAAGCAGGAGGCGCCACTAGTATTTTTTAGAAGGTGTGATTGGCCACCTAAACTTTATCTTTTTAACAAAACCAAAAACAGATTTATGGATTATCAAAAAGACAATTTTGATTTTTGAAATCAAAGGTGGGTTCGGGAGTTCAATTACACATAAAAAAAAGGCTTAGCACTCTCACAGCTCCTGTTTAAAAATGGTACCTATTAGTTGCATGCTATCCTTATATTTTGAGAGAGATGGTCCTAGCTTTAATATTTTAAAAAACTTTTCTTAAATTTCATCTATTTTTACAAAATCTCATTTTTTTTTGTTTTTTAAAGTGCAACTCATTTTACTTTTGGATTAATAAGGAAACCTTTAGTATCGAAATTTTTTCTTGACTGCCTTATATTTGGGTAGATGTTTTTAAGATTCTGCCTAAATATAGGAGAGTTAAGAAAATGTTTCGATACTAAAGGTTTCTATCTTAATCCAAAAATAAAATGAGTTGCATTTTCAAAGAAGAAAAAAAATGAGATTTTGTAAAAATAAATGAAATTCAAGAAATTTTCTTTAAATATTAAAGCTAGGACCATCTCAAAATTCAATGATAGCATGCAACTAATTGGTATGTTTTTAAACGGGCATTGTGGTGTTGCTAATCTTTGCTCAGGCATAACCAAACTCCTGAATCCACCTTTGATTTCAAAGACCAAAATTGTCTTTTTGATAATCTTTAAATCCATTTTTTGTTTTATTAAAAAATAAACTTTATAGGTGGCTAGGCACACTTAACAAAACAAAAGGTTGGTGGCGACTCCCATTGTTTTTGAGATTTTTAAAATTTTTTGTCAAAGCGGTTGGGTTCTCAGACTCACACATTGCAACAATCATCTAACTCACTTCCTCTGTACCTCCCTTCTAATCCAACACCTTCTGAACCCTAAATGAGAATAAAAAGCTGTTTTCCTTTTCTGAATTTTTCAAAAACATATGTCATCACTACACTTGTTACTGAATTGCTGTCCTTTGTATTTGAAATCTTGTTGTAGTTATATGCATTAATCTCTGCTTCAATTTCCTTAGGAAGTTTGAAGAAGTTTTGGTACCATTGTATATCAGCAGTTTCTCTCTCTTGCTCATTTGCAAGCTTTTTCCTTGAAGATTATTTTGATTACAATATTTTAATTACTCTTTTTTTCTGTTCTTTTATGTCTCAGGGCTGGCAATTGATGAATTCTCTAGGAAGAAGTTGGACCTGACCGGAGCAGAGCTCAGTGAGGAGAAGGAATTGGCATACTCCTGCCTGTCATGAATACATTTACCATTTCTGTAATGTGTTTGAAAGGGGAGTGGTTTGCCTTGTTAGGGGTAGCTGCAGTTTCGAATAAAATCATTGTTAGATGAACTGTTAATGATGGGGAAGCTGCCTCCCTGGTTCTTACATTATTGCACCTGTCACTTGGTATGGGGATTTTGGATTTTTATTACTAATCCTGGGTTTTAGCGTCAATTTTAAAAGGGATAAGAAAGACTGTTGTGTTCGATATGGAATTTATGTTTTCGTATATGTTTAATGTTCAAATATCTGTCTTTGTGTTTTTCGTAGACTGCTGTGAACATTTGGTTTTTCTTTTATAGCAAATGCCAACGAGGGAAAATATGCTTGGATGCGTCTTTTTGAGGGATAAAGACACATTTTGAGGAGAGCTAAGCTTGCTAGTTTTCAACCAGGTGAGTTATGATAAGATCCCTTTTTGTAGTTTTCATAGGTAAGAAAAGTTGCAAGATGCTGAGCTATGGAACCAAGATTTCATGAGTACCTCTGTCTGAGAAATTAAAAATGAATGAGGGCATAATTAGGCTCTTTGCTGTTATACCAATGATACTTTGGCATTGTTAAAACAAATATTTGTTACAAATATTTTATCTCATTGCATAATTGTTTTTAAAAGAATTAGAAACAAATTAATTTCAAGGGATTTATTTTCTTTTTGCAAATTTTTTTAGGTTCATGGGAGAACATAGTTCTTACAAAAAGGAAAAAAAAGAAGAATATCTAGTTTGAAATTAAGATATTTATATACTTATAAAACTTTTTGGGCCACTAGACCAATAAGTGGGGCACCTTTTTATCACTCCACTCGTGTACCAAGACTGACCTCAACTTCTCAAGACTTTCTATATATCTTGGCACCACGCAATGTTTCAGATAAAATAATATTATCCATAACTTTTAATCTTCTGTTTTTATTAATTTTTTTAATTTCAAAAATATATATGTTTCAAAACAAAAACAAACAAAATATTTTAATATTATAAAAATTAAATATATAATATTTTATAAAGATAAACTACATGGTTCTATTTTCATATAAATTAATTATGTTATAATTGGTGTTTCATTTGAACGACTATAATTTTTACATTTTAAATCAATTATGATATTATTTATTAGCTTTTACTTTTGTTTTATAGCATTTTTCATTAAGCAAATAACAAAAAAGCAAGTAGCAAAACATGTACCAAACAAAGCTCTTTAATTCTTCCATTTTCTGTCAAATTCATTGCATAATTCTTTTGACAAAATCAAAGGAAGATATTGTCTTGAGATTGTTTCTTTTCTTTTCTTAATTAATAGATAACACAACAAGAGATAATAACTAATATTCTATTTTTTTTAACTATGTCATCTACATGCATTGTTAAAATGGTTTTATATCTTAAAGTTTGAATTTTTTGTAAGTTTATATTCAAATTGAACTAAAAATATAGTTCTGTTTTAATTAAACCGTTCACAATCCGTCTGTAATACTGACTTTTAACAACGAAAAACTTTAGTCCATAATTTTTCATCTCTGAAAAGCAATTTTCTTGTAGTGTGCCGTAGTTTAACATGGACTCTGGGAGAGGGTGGATTATTCTCAGAAACTCCTTATTCTTTGAAAGGCAAAATGCTTCCAGTGTCTTTTCCAAATCACTTTTCTTTTTAAAGGCCTTATCCGAATCACATTTCTTTTGATTGTGTTTGTTCCCTTCTTTGTTTCTTGAATTCATCCACATCCATCCCGACAACTAGTTCCTGGTTATGGACATGGAAACAGCTACCTAATGGGAATTAAGGTATCAACATTTCAATATTGAGTAGAAAATTTTTTTTCTAATCATATTTTTTGAACAAAAGATATGCTCCAATCATTGCATAAATGCTTGTGGAGGAGAAAGTTTTAAACCCCTTAGAAGTAAAAGAACCCAAAATTTTAAGTTAACGAGTTTTTGAATATTCAATGTGTATGTATATTAATTGAAGTGGGATGAATTTTCACATGTAAACTTCAATAACATATTTGTGTGATTCACATTGGAGCAGCTGAAAGTTAGAACTTTGTTTAACTTTTATAGATTACTTGTGAAAATCAAACATGCATGTGTGGACCATTCCGGTTACTTTGACCAAATTGAATAATGTCAAATATTCATTATACAATCAATAAAAGATCAACATTATTATAAGCACATAAATTTAGATTTGTAAATACAGGAACAGATCATTTACTATATAACTAAATTAGAAGTTTTCGACATCATCATCAGTCTAATTTCATCATTTCAATGAGCCTCAACTAGTTAATATTTGAAGCATCTACTTCAACAACATCCCAAAGTCTTGCTTTGAATTCCTAAACAGAACTGTTAATTTTTGTGCCAATCTTTTCTCTTCATCTTTTATTCTCCTATTTGGCCCTTCACCACCAAGTCTCCAAGGGGATAGATAATTTTCCTTTTTGAATGACACTCTTTCTTGGTCACTGAGGCGATTCTAACTTTTGGACTGGGGACAGGTTTTTGTCCATACCTTGGATAAGTACTGCCCGCCTTTTAGTCAAAAAAGGAAAAAGTAAATACTACTCCAATTAAAGAATCATTAGAATTCTGTAATTAATTCTTGTTCACCTCCGGCTTTAATGAACAGGTTGTACCAGAACTCCATTGCATCATCAAGATTTTGACTATATCCATAGTCAGGCTCCATGACATGATCAATTGAACTTGAAGGGACTTGAGATTGAAATTCTTCGGAGACTCCTCCAAAATTTACTGGTGCACTAGAATTATCCGAAGACAGTGCATCTGACCAGAAACTTTCATCAATTTCAGGAAAATATTCCCAGGAGTACTCCATGTTTTCAGCCTTCATAGCCTTGTTGTTCACTTCCCGATCACTTGTAGCTGTGGTGACATCTGTAATGGAAGAAACTTCACTTGATGATGGCTGAGGCCACATCGGGGTCTGCCCTGGAATGGAACTTGAGTTTCCAGGTTCTGATTGGATTGTGCTGATATTATCGGACGACTCACATTTGATTTTGGGTTTGGACTTGGGGTTTTGTTTGGTGACTGGTTTAATCTGGTATTGTTTAAGTCTCTTCTTCAAGTGAGTATGCCACACATTTTTTAGCTCATTGTCTGTCCTTCCGGGTAATTTTGCTGCAATTGCGGACCACCTGAAAGTTTACAAGAAAATATAAGGATACTATTTTCCCATACTTTCCTTTAAAACAAGCAATTAATCAGAAAAAAGATACTTTGATTATTTTCGGCCCACTTGTAGTCCTTAGTACTCAAAACCAACCCACAGAAAGAGACAACAACTTGTCCCCCACAAATGACCAATTTATTTCATAGACTTTTTTTGTTCTCTTAAGCAGGTCTGATCCAAATTCCATCCTTTTTCCAATGGGTAGAGTACAACTTCCTTTCCAAAATATATATATTAATGGTTTTGATTTATACCTATTCCCTAACATTTCATGCAGCTTGATGATAGTTTCCTCTTCTTCCAAAGTAAAGTTTCCTCTCTTGATATCAGGCCTTAAGTAGTTTACCCATCGCAGTCTGCAACTCTTCCCGCATCTTAGAAGACCTAAACGGAAAACAAGTTGAAGAAAAAAAAAATTATCAGACAAAACCATGATAATGCACAGTCACCAAAACATTCCACGAAAACCAGTTTTTGGCAATCTATTTTGATCTTTATGGCCTAAACATGTAATGGAAAAGAAACCCCAAAGATTAGATGTTTGGAAATTACCAGCTTTCTTCGGTAACGCACGCCAATTTGCATGGCCATATTTTTGAATGTAGGAGATTAAAATCTGATCTTCTTCAAGAGTCCATGGACCCTTTTTCAATCCTATCTCATCACAACAAGGAGCTCTCACCATTTTTTTTCTTTCTGTGTTAATTGAATAAACACAGGGTTTTACAATCTGTACTTTGAAGATCAATTGCCGGACACCCAATTTTCTCTTTCTCTTTCCAATGAAGCCTTCAGCTTAAGGTATTGTTGGCCTCCTGGTGGGCTATTTATATTCACAAATTGCTTGAAAAAGTCCAAGACATGGAAAGCAAAGCATCTATATTCAAAAGCTAGAGGGCAATTTCCAGGAAAAAGGATTTTCCTATCTGTCTTTCTCTCTCACACAGCCACAATCCAAAAGTAATTTTTTTATCAGCAAAATTTTGAACAGTTACTGCATAGATTTCTCAATTTGTCGTGTAACGGATAATAAGTAAAAAAATTGGAAGAACAGAACTGACACAAATGTATTAATCAGTCAAAAATTTATGCATTAATCCAATTAAATATGAGTAATTTTAATTATATAATAATTAAGCACCGTGAGCTAATGACGTTTTTACAAGAAATTGAAGCAGACAAAGTTAAACAGAGCTACGACGTTGACATTTCCTTCTTGTTTTTCTCATATATTAAAAAAAAAATATTAGAACTATGAGTTGCACATGGACAGCTTTTTTTAATTAATTTTTTTGGTCAAATTTATCAAACTAAAAAATTTGCCCAGAAAAAATACGACAAACCGCCTTTAAAAACGTGTGTTTGATTAGTCTAAAATAAGGATTTCGATTGATAATGAATGTTATCCTTTATTTATATGAACCAAAACTCGTAAAGACTTAATTCAATATCATAGTTACGGTTGGAAAAACAATTAAATTGAAAAAAAAAATTGTTTAAAAGTATGATAAAAATTATGATATAAGAATTTTAAATGTTTGACATTGTTATGAAAATGTATTATAGTTAATTGAAATATAAAAAATACATAAAATAATAAAAGTTTAAATAAATAAAGATAATAAAATCATTTTATTCACAAAAATTACGATTGAATCGCAAAACACTTTTTATTTGTTGTTCAACATTTAAATTGTGTCAAAAACACTTTTATTACAAAAATTATTTTCAATCTCAAAACTAAATTAGTCTTAAAACATTTACTAAAAAACATTTAGATTGTTGAAGAAAGAAAAAAATTTCACATGAAAGATACTTTTGTTCAAATAAAATGACATACATGAAAGATACTTTTGTTCAAATAAAATGACACATTTGAGCATGTACTGAAAATGGGGATATAATGAAATTGAAATCCACGAGTTTATTGTAATATTTTTGGCCTTAATGTACCATTTTGAATAATTTCAAACATTAAATTGAGTGAAATTGTTATAATTTATGTAAAACCTCAATTTTATCCGAGTTAATTCAAACTTATTCAATTTTTACACTTAATTTGTATGTTTTTATTTAAACTAGTTTAAGCATTAACTTGAATTTTATTTGTTTGAACTTGTTTCGAATTAGTTATTTTTAATTAATTATATTATTATTATTTACCATTTAAAATTAATTAAATTAATTAAAAATTTACAAAAGAAAATTAATTAATTAAAAAATTAAGTAAAATTAAATTACAAAAAAAGCGTAGAAAAATAGAAAACAACAAAAATCAAGGGCTAGCAATTCAGGCCATGTGAGGCAAAAACTTTTAGGCCTTACATAGTGCACCAACCACTACCCGGCACATTACCTAGCCACCACCTTGTACACTGCCTAGCAACCACAATGTGTCACGGGTCGAGACTCAAGCTCTGAACCCACGCGACTCCAGAACTCGGACATCTACTCATCCGACTTCCCAGATCAGCCTACTTGCCACGGTTCACACCCTTGTGAGGTATTGTCCGTTTTGGCCCCCCTGGCCTCACGATTTTGTCATACAAAAGGCGCTTCACAAGGAAGAGGTGGTATGAACCCTTTTATACCCCAATGACCTTTCTATTATGTTCGATGTGGGATTCAAGACTCCTCCTTAGGTTCGTGACATTCTCCTCCACCCAACCTTGTGACACCCTCATCACAAAAGCTGGCCACCCTGCCTACCTCCCTCGAGGTGCTTGGAATGGATCGAACGGTTTAGGACTGGCTCTGATACCACTTGTCACGGGTCGAGACTCAAGCTCCGAACCCGCGCAGCTCCGGGACCTAGGCATCCACTCATCCGACATCCCAGATCAGCCTACCTATCACGGTTCACACCCTTGTGAGGTATTGTCTGCTCTGGCCCCCTGACCTCACGATTTTGTCCTACAAAAGGAGCATCACAAGGAAGAGGTGGCGTGAACCATTTTATACCTCAGTGACCCTCCTATTATGTTCGATGTGAGATTCAGGACTCCTCTTTAGGTCCGTGACATCTGCACCACCCTATAATATTTGTCCATTATGAAAATTTACAGATAAAATTCACAAACACTGACGATAGCCCCTCTTTTTCAAAAAACATCTAAGCACTATCCTCAAAACCGACCCTTGTATAGCCTCTGAGTCCCTAGCCAAGACCTAAGCTCCAGTGAAGGATACCTTTTTCCTAACCTGAATCGGTGACTTGGCCCGTGACTTAAGGAGAGTTCAACTTATGTGAGTCTATTGTCATAATATATAGATCTGAAAATCTATAGCTAAATTTAATAAAAAGAGTCGCCACCAATCTATTATTAAGGTGTAATTGGTCATTTAATGAATTTATCCTTTTAAAAAGCTTCTAAGCTTAACTAAAGGTCTCCAAAAAAATTGGTTTTGATCTATTAATCAAAATAAAGTTCAAAAGTTCGATTACAGATGAAAAAGGTTATAGCTACCCATCCAAAGTATGGTACGATTTTATTTTAAATTATCCTAAGCTTTTGATTCTAATAGTCTTAAATTTTAATATTGAAAATAATCCTTAAGATTTCTTCATCAATCTAGTAGAATTCTTAAAAATACTTTCTCACCTCAAGAGTATTCAAGAATCCCATTTGTTTTCTTGAAAAAGTTCAATCGTCGAAAAAAAGGTTTAATCATTTTCTTATTTTGGTTTTTTATTGAAAATATATCTTATTATTCCACCATTTGAACCAAAATAGAAATATTTTTCACCTAAAAATTTCTTAGATAATCATCCACTTGTGATTACTAAGAATTTCATCATCAAAATTTATTTTTTTATTTTACAAGTTTAATTTCTAAATTTTTCATCATTTGGGTCAATTTAGAATTTTTTACAAGTTTTATTTCTAAAATTTTCACCATTTAGGTTTATTTAGAAAAAAAAAAAACATTTGTTAATTTCCTAATCTTTAGAAAGAAAATAGTATGACAATTATTTTTAAAAGTTTCATTTAAATTCTTCCACCATTTGGGATAAATGTAAAGAAAATTTTCATCTAAAAATTTTTTAAGAAATTTACCATTTGAATTTTTTAAAAATCTCATAATTGAAAATTTGTCAAATATTTTTCAATCAATTTTTTTAAGTTACATTTTTTTATTTGGAAAAGAATATACTTTTATTAAAATTTGATCTAAATTATTCCACAATTTGGGACAAATTTAGAGAAATTTCTCACATTGAGATTTCTTAAGAAATTTGCAATTGCAATTTGAAATTTCTAATAATCTCATCATTGGGTAATTAGTATTTAATTTCAAAATTTTTATTAAAATTTTTTATTTTTATTTTTAAAATTGAAAATAAATATTAATTATTATTATTATTATTGAAATTTATCTAAATTATTCCACAATTTGGGTTAAATTTAAAAAATTTATCACCTAAGAATTTTATAGAAATTAACCTTTGCAATTTCTAAAAATTTCATTATTGGATAATTAATCTTTATTCTCAAAAGATTTATTAATATTTTATTTTGTTTTATTTTATTTTATTTTATTTTATTTTTTCTTAAATTTAATCCTACAAAAAATACTATAAATAAACAAATAAAATAAAATAAAATAATAAAAAAACCAAAGCAGGGACAAGCTCGGCTCAACTCAGGCATGTGGTTTAGCTGCGGGAATGGAAAAAGTTGGAATTGCTCAGTTTACGGCTCAACTCGACTGGGGCCAAGGACTAGGATGCGGGTTAAAAAACAGGTCAGCACTCGAGTCAGATCAACCCAAAGGAAAACACGTGGATCTTGAACTGAATTAAATGCCAAAACAACGTTGTTTTGATGGCGGTATAAAGGGGTAAAAATCATCTTTTTCCTCAAATATCTTCTTTTTCCCTTTCTTTCCTCTTTTTCTCTTTATTCTCTCTATAAAACTCAGATAAACTCCAATTGAAATTTTATTAAATTCTAAAAATTCTCACCAGAATCTAGGTTGATTTGTAGAAAGTTCATCGATTTTCTTGGAATCTGATGCAAGAAACTAGGAATCTCACAAGAATCCTCAAAGATCACCAAAAAATTTCACCGAATACTGGAATTTCTAAAAAAAATTCCAAAACAAAAATTCTTTTTAAACCAAAAAAATCTCTCAAAAAATTTTGTACATTATGGCTGCCTTTGTGTAGTTTTTTTGCCTCAATAATTTGTGTTTTGTTGCTTGGTGTGGATATGTATTTATAGAGTTTAAATCTAGAGTATCCTAAACCAAAAAGGGTTTTAATTTCTTTTAAATTTCAACTTCAAATTCTAAGTCCAATTCAAACTCTTCAGTCCAACTTAAACACTTTAACCCAAACAAACAAGTTTCACACCAACCCAACTTCTTGATTTTCCTTTTTTGTTTTTTTTTGTTTTTTTATTAACAAAAACAATTAGAACCTGAGACAGATTGGGGTGTTTACACTTATTTTAGGCTGTTGGTGTGGAGTCCAGTGTTCAAATTGTTCTGGGCCTAAATTCAAAGGTTTAAATTGGGTGTGTTTACTTATTGGCTATTATCTTTATATTTATTTGTTTCAATGTTTGCTAATATGAGTTAGTAATGTAAAAATGTATACATGAACAAATGAAAAATATACATTTTTAAGAAATAAATTTATTTATGAGAAATTATATTAATGTAAAATTTTATTGTAAAATATTAGTAAGTAAATGAAAATATTTTTGATGATGAGATTAAAGAATTTCGAGTAGTGATTCTTTAAAAATTTTTAGATTAGAATATTTTTTCTAAACTG